TGTGTGTGTGTGTCTGTGTGTCTCTGTGTGTGTGTGTGTCTGTGTGTCTGTGTGTGTGTCTTCACAAGGTCTGTATAAGCTCAGGCTGGCCAACTCCTATGTAGTGTTGAATCATCTTAAAATGATCCTCCTGCCTCTACCTCAAGGGTGGGGAATATGTCCAGTTCAAGGCTGCATATTTAAGAGTTCAAGATAGAGTTTATTTTAGCTTTTGGAAGTAGGGTCTTCCATGGAGCCCAGTTGGTCCTGACCTCGCAGCCTGCCTTCATCTCCTGAGTGCTGGGGTTATAGCTGTGACTGCACAGCTCCGTTCCAGCCGGATCTAAAGTCTCTTCAAGCCTGAGGGCGGGCAGCAGAGCGCTTGCCTGGCAGCCACAGGCTCTGCGTCTGCTCCTCAGCGCCGTGAACTTCACAAGCAAGTTAGCAGCACTGCGGAGCGACCAGTCCTCATATTTTAGCTAAAACTAATTTTAAAACTAATGTTATGCTATTAAGTCGACACCATGCTGACATGCTTATAAAAGTTATAGTCACATTCGTTACACAGCTGTTTTAATTAGTAATATTAATTTGTTACAGTTCTGTCCCCTGGCCGTAGCTTCAGTTTTCCTTGGTGAGGAAAACGCGGGGGCAGTGCCGCTCCCTTGCAGCCTGTAGTCCACTCCACTGGCTTTGGAGACAGGGAGTCACTGTTTAGCATTGGCTGGCTTGCAACTTTGTGTGCAGACCAGGCTGGCCTCCAATTCACATTGATCTACCTACCTCTGTGTCTGTGTGCTGGGCCTCGGGGTATGCCACCGTGCCTGGCTTACCTTGACTTCTGAGACAGGCATCCCCCAAACCTAGCATTGAGACTTTGTCCAGTGAAATACTTTAGACACTAGTCACATTAGCTTTCCATTCCACCACCAGTGAACAGAGTTAGATGAGAGTTGGTTCTGTTCTCTACGAAATAAAGCGACCGACTGCTGAATCCACAGCTAAGCAGGATTTTGGTCTTCTCCAAGGATCTGCTGGGGGGCAGATGGGTGTTTCCAAAAATAGCTTCAGTTCTCCCCCAAAGCGCTAGAATACTTTCTGGTTTATACACACCTAAATCTTGAGCCACACACATTAAGAGAAATACCAAATGTGAAGGTTCTAGATGCTTAACTTGTTGCCACAGCATGCACGTGGGATCAGGAAAGCACTTGGCACCCATCCTCCAGCCACTGTGTTAGGTGCAGGGATCAAACGCGGGTCTCCAGGTTGGGAGCCACAGCCTTTATTCACTGGGTCACCTCACAGACTACCAGGAACGGTGTGGCGGAGTAGGGCAGTAATCCCAGCCCTCCGAGGTTGAGCCAGGAGGATCGCTGGGAGCTCAGGAACAGCTCAGGTTGCAGAGACCCTCACACACCTCGCCCTTCTTTAAAAGACTGGCAATAGGCTAAGGCCATGCAGTAGCCGGGTCTTTCAGTGTGTGGAGAAAGACTGGGACTCAACTCCTTACAGCTAAACACAAAGCCTACGGAGCTTCATCCAGAATTCCATACGTTTCTGAGAATCAGGTCTAAAATGGGGAAGGGCCCGAGGCAGGCTGAAGACGCCAGAGTTTCATCTCTGGACACCGGGGGAAGCACACTCCTGATGTGACTGCTGACTGGGCTCTAGGTCCTCAGAGCCGAGCTCCGTCATACTAGCTGGACATGGGAAGACACAACAGGATCACACTTCTGCACAGCAGCCTTGGGAGAACAGTACTGTCGGGGGGTGGGGGCACATGTTAGTGGAAGGATCCGAGTGAAAGGCTGGAGACTCTCCAGAAATTAGTCTAGAGATTTTTTTTTCTAGAAGAAAGGTGTGCTAGTGTTTGAGTTTGACTTGGAGTCTTATCTGCACCCTCCGTAAGACTGGACTTGAACTGTGTCCCACTGAAGGACGGTACAGCTAAGGATCTTGCCAGGCAGTCTGTTAAGTCCAAGCTGCTTTAGTTTAAGAGACTACGTCAGCTGGCTAATGCCAGCTGTTAGACTGAATTACTACACTCGAGACTAGTAAGAACAGGTAAGTGTGTGCACTCTTGAGGACCTGACCTCTGCTACCTGGCGCCCATGTGAGGGGAAAAAAAAAGCAAGTAGTGTCCACCTATGTCCTGCCCCAGTGCTGGGGTTGGAGGCAGACTGGGAGATACATCAGTGCCTAACTAATGTAGTGGAAATGGCCAGTGTAAGGTTCAGTGAGAGACATCCCGTTCACCTCTGACCTCCTCATGTGCTCACACCAGGACCCACACATACATAAAATACACAAATAAGTGAAAAACCAGTAAAAGGGTGAAGCGGTACCTTCCTGACTTTAGGATCTGGGCATGCTTTCTTAGAATACACCTCTTGGTTGGTGGGTGGGTTGGTTTTTGTTTTGTTATTTTGAGATTGGGTCTCTCTACATAGCCTGGCTGTCTTGGAATTCACCGTGTAGACCAGGTTGTCTCCCGAGTGCTAGGATTAAAGGTGTGCACCAACACATCCAGTTTATTGCATAGCTTTCTGTAGTCCAGTGTGAGTCTGTGCGTGTGTGTGTGTATATATATATATATATATATATACATTTGTATATATATACATATGCACACAGGAGTGTCCACAGATGTTTGAGTGCTGAGGAGGAACTGGGTATAAACAGTCCATAAAGTCCTCCACAGGACTTATATTTCAGGAGTAACAGCAGAATGCCACTTTGGAGCATCACCAGTAAACTCAAACAATTTGCTCTAGCAGTACTTGCTGAGGGTGCAGTCTGCATCTTAATCGGTGGCTTCACAGAGGAATGGGCTCTGTGTGAACAAGCCAGGAGGGAAACCGCCGAGTTATCTCACAGAAGATGGGGAAGGAAGAATGAATTCAGTACATATTTTAAAGACGACCATTAGTCCTTTCTCTCTGGAAAATGAAAAACCCATTCATTTTTTTTTTCCTCTTGCTTTTACCCAGAAATTAAAGGCTGGGGAAGGGTAATTAGCAGAGCGAGCACCTCCTGTCAGAGCCAGCTGCCTGATGGGGACCGACATTCTGGCGGTCAGACAGAACTGAGGAAGGTTAACGCAGAGTTCATCAGTCCCTGCCTAGGTTGGCATTCTTCTTTCCTACCAGGACAGGCAGGCCTCACTCACCATCCGGTTCAGGGCATGCCGGCAAGTGGCTGCCTTTCTCTTCTAGAAGTCTGGGCACCGAGGAGGCAGTGTGGAGAAGAAGGCAGACAGCGTGGGAGGAGCTCACACTTTATTACCACTCCCACCCCAGCTGCCGGCAGAGCTCTTCCGATGCACACACCCCTGACCCTGGGATGTGAAGGGACTGCTCACCATCCCCAATCAGTTACCTCCTCCCCATGGCACCTCATGTCATCTCTTCCACCTTGGTGGCTTCAGTACCTGGTGTACTGGCCTGGTGAGATGACCCAGCCTAGCCGGCGGAGGTGCTCAATGAGCAAGCCTGGTGATTTCAGCTTCATCCTTGGAACTCATAGGTGTGCCCTGGTACCCACAGCGCCATCCCACACACACATTTTTTATAGATGGGGGAGGGGCTGGAGAGCTCTCAGCAGTTAAGAACACTAGGTACTCTTGAAGAGGACTTGGGTTTGACTCCCAGTACCCACATGGTAACTCCATCATCCATAACTCCAGTTCCAGGGACTCCCAACATCCTTTTCTGATGTCTGTTGGCACCAGGCACACACGTGGTACACAGGTTAGACATGCTACCACTCACACATTAAGTCTAAGTATTTATAATAAGTCTCTAAAAATGTCCAAGACACAGAATCATTCCGTATCTTGAAGTACTGCTTTGCTTTTTGAGAAGATTTTGCCCAGGCTGGCCACAAATAATCCTCCTGCCTCAGCCTTTCAAGCAGGTAGGTAACAGGTACACCATAACATAGTGCCTGGCTTCTTGATCATGTTGGCCATCCGTGTGGATGGAAAGCTGTCTGGTCAAGATGACTCAGCAGGAGAAGGTGCTTCCCTCCAAGCCTGAATACCAAATTCAATCCTTAGGGCCACACACAGGAGGGAAGAAAGCAATTCCTACAGATTGCCTTTTGATCTCCTCATTAGTGCTGTGGAACACGTGTGTTCATTGCAAAGAGAATAGAATCCCCAAAATAATTTTAGCTTGAAACCTTAATTCTATTTAAATTTTTTCCTTATTTTCTTAAGCCAGAGTGTCCTACTCTGTAACCTTCTCGGACCTGTAGTTCACTACGTAGACAAGCATGGCCTCAGATTCACAGAGGTCCCCTTGCTTCTGCCTCCCAAGTGCCCGGATTATTTTAAAATTTATTTTTAGTTTTAATATACCCTGGATTTCTAGGAACACACACATTTAAGATGTAACCCAAGGACAGGTGATAGTCTGTTCAGAACTTCATTGTTTGGGAAAATCTCTTTGCCAGGACGATGCTGCCGTGATATGTCTGACAACTCTGCCAGCCTGCCTGTGTCAAATTCAAGGCAATCTGATGCTAACACAAGAATCTGAGAGCTTTGGTGTGTTTGGTCACACACAGTGTAACATATACGCTATTTACTGGAAAGTATTTCCCTTTGTATTTGTGTGCTGTTACACTGGGAAGGGATTGGTGTTTCTG